AATTCAGCACTTTACCACAGTTAAGAGTGGGTGCACAAAACAGAAAAAAAAATCATAGAAGTGACTTCAAAGTTATTGTATTCCAAAAACCAAAATTTTCACATTGCATTTGTTACGTTTGACTGAAAGCAGCAATGCGTCAAAATGGTTCTAGCATTGTCTGACTACATGTCTCACTGGAACAGAGCTCTGTGGCAAGATTTTATTTTATTTTTCTAATTGTTCGCTTTGTCAGCTCTATAATACTGGAGTGCATTTCTTCCCCTTCTTCTTTTCATGGACAGCAATAACGAACAGAATCAGATTTATGCAATAACCTGTTTCTTAATAAGGCACTTTTACTAACTGTGCTCTTGGCTGGCGTTGGTGGCACCTCCTGTCTGTTCCAAGGCACGTTTTTCATTTGGTACCGGAATTTGGGGTAAATTTATTCGTACACTGTACTTAATTGCTTACTTCAGATTGGACTATGGAATCCAAGATCATATTTCTTCCCCATTAGAAGATTAATGGCCGGCGCTGTTGTGGAAAACTGTTAATTGCCTTACTAACATCTGTAAAGAAGTAACTTGATGCCAGTGTTAGAAGCTAATCCACAGTGTTTTTTTGTTTGCGGCTTGTAAAAAATGTTGAAATTGTTTGATTGATATACGGAGCAACTACAAACGCACACACTCTTCTCCTCTCAACACACAACACCAACCAACACACCCCAAAACACCAAACTTGCTTTTCCCTTGTTCAAACCAGTTGTTGTGGCAGGTCCTTCTGTAAAGATGGATGTATATGTAAGCGGATCCAAAAGCTCTTAGGAAAAGAAAATATTGTGGCAACGGTATTGATCTGTCGTTCCAGTGTTTTTAACTTTATTTAACCCATACCTTCTATGCGACATAGGCATAGCAAATAGGTGCGTTCAGTAGGAATTGTGGATGCATATATTTGTGCCCCACTGGTTCCCATTTGTCTTTCTTCTCTGATCCCTAACTTTGAAATTTTCTTTTTTTTTTTTTTGGGATAAACCTCCATATCAAAATATATATTCAGCAAGCAAGACACAGGTATGTTAAGAGGATGTACGAGTGATGTTCTGTTTTAATGAAGGCCAGGTATAAATAATGCTATCTATTCAATGCATGGATATAGTCTAGATCTAGTTGTGAAACAGTTGCTTTCAGAACCCAATGAAATTGTACTGGATTATGAAAACACCAAAAACATTGGCTGTTTTAACTTATCTTTATATGATTTTCTCACATAAGCCCCTTTGTACATTCTGACCTGCCTTGTCTTTCTCCAAAAAATGTCCGTCCTGAACTGTACATGAGTCTTGAGATCAGAACAACAGCTGGCAGTGATTGCTGCAGCACCGAGAATACCCTGTACACAAAGTCTTTTCTCCTAGGATGGTGAACTCAAGTCATGAATAGTAAATGAGCATGAAATATTGTCCATCCAATCACAGCAAACAAACATTCTTTATATCAAATGATTTAACAACCACGCAAGGACGGTGTAAAATTAACTACTGTACTTAAACCAAAAAGATGCATGGTTGTTATGTAAGAATAGTTTTGTCAACAATAGACTGTCTGCTTAGCTAGCTTGTTACTTGTACAACAAGTTGTAAGCTATTCACAGTTGTGCAACAAATTGACTTGGGTTTAGTTACCTTCTTTGGTGATAATGACAAATAATATCATATTTGCTTAGGTGGCATGCATGAAATGTTGCTACGCACAAATTTTCATAATTCATTTTAAATGAGTGCATCATGACCAGGCTATGGGTTATGGGCTACAGCAGCCAGTGCCCACTGTCCATCAGATCTTAATTATCTCCATGACTAAGTACTGCAAATTCATGCAGGCTCAGTGGTCTCCCAGCATTATCAGATATTATTGTATACTACTTCTGGCATACTCCCATACTTTGAATTAAGTGTTGGTCAACTTAGAACAAAATGCTGAAAACTATGAAAGTGCATTCTCAGAGTAGGTCCACTTGACATCAAGAACGTTTGTTCGCTATGATTAGACGAACTTTTCACACGCAAGACTCAACTTCGTCACCCTAGGAATAAAATACTGTACAGTGTAAGATGGTCCTCTGCAGTGGTGCAATACAGCACAGTAAATACAGTATGACTGCCACCCAGTGGTGAATGCCCAACACATCTAATAATCTTCCCTCTAGTGGAGGCTGATGAATCAACATCAACATGCACTTATTGCAGTTTGATTCAGATTGAAATGACAGAATGAAAAAACAGTGTCAACTAAACTAAAGCTTAAACTTATAATTTTATGTAACTGATATAATTATTGCTACAATTAGCATAGTTAAAACAGTATATGATTATAAATAGCGTTGAAATTGTTGCTAATTGCTTTCGATAATATGACTAGTTAGATTGTTTGTAAGTATATATATTCTCAATCCCTGTGCACATTGGGCATTTTATCTACATTTAAAAAGGGGTGATGCGCATTTACAAGTTTACACTAAAAGCATACGTGCGACAATTTATACAAAGAGGAATCCTTTATGAAATCATGTCTACAGTGAGCATTAAATAGTTACAGAAAGTCTCAGTGTTACTGTCACATTATCCACTAAAATAACAAAGTGTTGAGACTCCTGATTGACCACTATGATTCCTTAGAGTTAGTATTGCTCTTACTGCCAGAGCGGCTGAAACTCACACTGCCAATCCAAGAGTCTCATGTCTGCTGTTGTTACAACACTACTATAACACACAACTCACTTAGTACACTTACACTACTAAAACATGTTGTATTGCCGTCTACCGCTGTATTAATGGCATTTCAGTATTAAATTGTGGATTATATTGCTGTATACTACTTATGTATTTCAAGCAGCTGAAACTCACACTGCCAAGCCAAGAGTCTGACGTCTGCTCTCCGCTTCCCACATTCCACACAGATAAAAGAGATCAAACCACTGATCTAACATTGTCGAAGTTCAGCAGAAAAGTTAACTTTACTACAAACTCGGGGGAATGAGAAATGAAATGAGATGAAGTAGGAGCAGTATGTTCTTATTTTGGCACAAACACAGTTGCTATCTTTGTGAAAAATATCAGATGGATATTGTTCATATTGTTGTTAGCAATGCCAAACTATGATACATATTGCGACCTATTGTGTCAATATTATATTACACGCCTAGCAAACTGCCTCCTCTCTTTGACAGAGATTATCGTATAGACCAAGGCTAGAGAGAGAGATTTGAATTATAAGCACAGGCTGACACTGACCTTTCCACATTTTCTCACTACAGTCCTGCATTTGAAACAATTCCAACAATATGTTTTACGCGTCCAGCAGCTGTAAGCGTATTTCTATCTTATTCAAATGAACAAATTCATGTCTACACATTTTACCAAGACCAGTGACGTTATACAAATTATAGTATTTTATAGTGAAACTAAATGTTGCAGCAAAGTCTTTTGATTTGCTTCCATTGGCACACTCCATTCAACACACACACACAACAAATCTGCAACATGGAACTACTTCCCCTGTGAATGTTCAGCTGTTTGTCTG